TGGAAGTAATCCCAACAATTATGAAACAAGAGATTCCTCGAAACCCAACTTTTCTTCATATATAAAACTATCGTTAAGCCTGGTGTCTTCATCTGACGATGTCCGTCACATGACGGACGAAGGCTCAGCAAGGACCCATCGGGGTAGCATGGTGGTGCGTCGAGGACCTATTCGCACAAATCTACAATCACAGCTCCGAGGAAATCTCCCTGCAGCTTCCGGTGAGACTAACTTACGAAATTCTTCCACTCGTCTCTTCAACCGAAATGAAAGGTACTTCATCATAAATTTAGTATTTCCATCTATTCTATTTATTAGCTCAAAAAATCCACCCAATATATCTTTGCTGTGTTGCCAAACTGGAAATTAATCGTCCATATATCCAACAAATAACTTTGGACCTAATAGTGCCCCTTGAAGCACATGAAATTCTAGTTGAGCGATGTAGTAATTGTTTCAAATAGAAGTTAAGTAGTATCACACGGCCGAGCTTCATGTTTGCTCAGACAACTTAACTTTCAGGGTAAAATATGTAGGATTTTTGGCCAAATTTATAAATCTAATGCTTGAAACTTTGCCTTACGTTTTACCTGTTCTGATCTTAGGATGTTGGTCTGAGTATAAATCGAAGGCCCTCATTTCTCGTTTATCTGATTATTAACGTACATAATCAATATGCTGAAACTTTACAGCAAATCTTCACTTTATATATCCTGATCATCCACTAGCCACTTAATGTTGTCAAACTATACTTAGTGAAATTATAGAGGGGAAATCTTAAACGAATTAATGATATTATTATATTCAGTGAAAATCTAAAAATCTGAAAAAAAGTATTGAATATTAAGTCATTTAATTGTGATTAAGTTTAAATGCTCTAAGGCCTTAAATTCAAACAAGCCAACCAAACCTCGGCACTCACAGCAAGATTATTTAAAACACAAACGAGTTGTAATCATTAATTAGCAACCTACTCTTGGCATAGTTTCGCATTGTGCCAGATGTTTGGCTAAACGTTGTCTGGCAGCCTGGGCTATCGGCAGGCTATACTTGGTAAGCAGACGTGCTGTGTCCCCCTGCGTCTGATCGATGAGACGCTCCATCACCGGATATATAGCTGAACCATTTGTCGGATGTGAAGAGTGCCCTGGACGCAGGGAAGATGCTGTCCCATCCCTTATGGCACTTATTGCAGTGGTGGCACATGATGGAGTCTGGATCTGACCCAGTTCTTGACCCGATAGCCCAGGAGAGGTTGTTCCCAGGCCATTAGAAAATCCGATGCAACCAGGCTCTTGGGCAGCCTGTGACAAAGATCCTAGTGTGCTCATGGCCAGAGTACTGGAAGCTGCAGTCTGCTGGCTGTGATCAGATAGGTTGCGATCCACTAATGCTTGTATAGCAAATTCAGCTTCGTGATCGACGCCTGTGAACCTAAGATCAAAGTGCAGCAAACTACGATTGTCTCGTAGGGACTCTTGTATCTCCTGGCTAGAATTCTTTATTATAATACAAAATATATGCATACATGCATAGCACATAAATATTGCATACTCAATGAAGCACATTTTTAAATAAACAAATATAAAGGGCGCGATCCGCCTGTCCTCTAAATCCAATGTCATATAGGGGGTGCGGGGCTTGGCGTATTGACATAAATAGAAGCGGCTCAGGAGCTATCCGGAAAATTAGAAGTGGTACGAAGTAGCCATGCTGACTCGGTAAGGGTTAAAAAGCTTTGGCGTGGAGAGGCATACTGTTCCTAGGAGGGTCAAGCTAGGTCTGCCGAGCAAAGAGGCTATAGAAGAAGTAGATCCCTATGAGGTGTCATCCCGGAGGGAATAATCCAGTATAAAAATAAATCCAGCTAAAAATTCGTCATGAAATACAATTTAAGCTATGAAGATCAGGATAGTGTGGCCTTTATTTGGTTACGACCTCCCTTAGAAACTTGCTCGTGCTATCAAGGTGACCTAGGTGAACACAGACTGTCCGAGGTCTTCAACCATAGGAGTCATGATAATTTCTAGGGTCTGAGCTAAGAATTGTAATCTTTCATTACTACTATGGCAAACGACTCAAGATAAATTGCATTTACCTACGTTGCACTGACATGACCAAGCTGCAAAAACGAGGTCAAACGACTTCTATTGATGATAATACTTTGAAGGATATTGAGGTCAGTCTGGTAGCTGCCAGACGGTA